CCTATGATGTTTCGCAAGCTGGTGTGTTTTTTTGGCCCGGGTCCGCGGGTGATTGCTTCTAAGCTCGAGATTCGGGGTATGGAAAGGAGTCACTGGAAGATTGACAGACAAGGCCGGATGTCAACAAAGACGTCATGTATTGTTGCGGGCGAATCGTTTGGCGCGTCTTAGGGGGAGTAGGATCGCAGTAAACATGGACGGTTCAGCGGAAGGGAAGTCGACTGCAGTGCGACAAGCAGACCGGAGCGAAGAGGAGGGATTCACCGAGCAGCGATAGTCTCGAAGGTTCGAACAGGGGGAATGGGAGTGGGAGAGGTGGAAGTGTTATTGCATTGATTTATCGGATCGAGGTCCGAGGGCCGGTAGACTGAACTGGACTCGACTGGCAAAAACGTTCTTGGGTTCTTCTTCACCTTTCAGTTCGTTGCCCCCCAAGCACAAGCACAAGCAGCAGCAGCAGTAGCAGCAGTCACTTAGCAGCAGCACGGGACGGGGAAAAGCCACACTATGAGACGGGGCGGGTTTCGAGGGCGATCACGTAAGCGTCCCTGTGACACTCCCGACCAATCATATCTCGACCTGGTCTCCATAGGAGCTTAGTCATTTGTCCCTGGGCTTGCTAACTAACTAAGGTAGTTAGCAGTCACTAAGACAAAAGTTGGTTCACTTACTGAGTGGTGAGTATTCCATCTTCACCCATGCATTCATCTGCAGGCACACATTCTTAAATGTGTCCTCTCGACATCATGATTTGCTTTCTCCAACATAAGGTGTCTGATAGATCTGGTGGTGCTTCCAGGATCGTTGCGTTGTAATAGGCTCATGGTGGACTACCCTCTGCTGCAGTTCCACCGGTTCCAGAGATTATCCGCTCTCCACTGCAGGGCTTAGACTCGGCTTGAACTAGATAATTGACAATGAATTGGAGGAATGAAATGAAGGTACAGTGATTTCTTCCCTTATCAGCATGAATAGTAAGATCAGAAAAAATAGTCATGGGCTATGCTCAGCTGCAAGTTGTAGCCACAATTCCTCTCACGGGTGCTCTACGTACGTCATTTGCTCTCACGTTTTGTTAACGGTGGTTGTCTGCCCAACCCTTCATAAGCCCTCGGAGTATCTTTTCCAAACAGACCCCTCCTGACCCATGCGGCCTGGTCACCACACAAGTCTTTGCCAGAGGGAGGGCTACTGCGGGGTCAGACTGTCTCTTTGTTTGTAGCTGAGAGAATGATCTCTTAAGTAGCCATCTAATCCTTTCTGCCTCACCCCGCCTTGTCGCCGCAATCAGGCAGACTTGGATATGCAATAACAACTATGGGTTATAGACTTCCCGCCCAAGAGAACTGGATCAGTCGGACTGTTGACTGTCTGGGTCCGCAGGGACAATCAGATGTGCTTCTGGCTTTGTTCTTCGTTGGCCGTAGGTCAGATACGCGTAAGACTAGTAAGACTCCAAGATGGGTACGTAGTATAGATCACGATTATCGCTGTCACCTCCGAGGCTCGGAGCGACAATCAGGGAAGATTTCCTCTTCGTTTTGACCTGAACGTCTTGAGCACACACAGGTCTTACAGGCGGAGTCCCGACCATGATGCATCAGTTCATCGCATAACCTAAGAACCAGTACAGCGCGTACCTCCTCTGATGCCAGTGATCCAGGCGGACTTGATTCAGGCGCTGGTGATGTGAGGTATATGAGAAAGGTACTATGACCATCAACCTCCCTGATTGCTTTCGATTTGTAAACTAGGTTTGCAAGAATGCTGCATGTACAGCTGGCAGGATGCGGTGGATCGGTTTGTTGAACCTGTAAGAGAGGGACAGGTAGCCGACGGTAAGGTACCAGAATTGTTGGCCTCTACCGAGTCTGGTGAAGGCATATCGCTACCCAATAAGCACCGTTCCTCTCCTCAAGCAACGTAGCAGTCACTTATGTAAACATGCATTGGTGAATCGCGGCCCCGTCCTGAATGTCACCCTGCGGAGTCTACTCATACTAAGCAGCTGGGATATAACACAGGAATGACATTTTCCTTGAGAAGAGGTACTTTCTTCTACGAAGGGTACAATATCGAGATATTCTACTAGTGATTCTGCCTTGGACAAAACGCATCGCATCACTGATGCTGTGGTGAATCGTTGCTGAAAGAGTCATCAGTACCATTCTTTGGACCAGACTCAAAGGTACCAGGGCCTGTACTCCGCTCCTGGACGCTATGTGTCATCAAGCCTGATGTGTCGGCCCCTCTATGAAAGAGTTAATCCCCGTCCTTCATCCATTATGCATCTCGTCAAAGGCACTGGGGCGAAGGTGAGCAAACTCACAGGAGGAACTCCCTACCTGAAGAGAAGAAGGTTTGCCGGCACAACTCAGAGTTCAGCGCATATCACACAGAAGTCTCTGGAAGCGAGCACAACCTCACAACGCTGGAACTCTCCTCGATGGTGATCATCAAGGTGGTATCACTGCTCATGTGAGCGCTCTGTGAACCTCTGTATCTTACCGGATTGTAGTCCAGCGAGGAGGATGACTCGAATCATCAAAAACCCGGTATCTGGAGTGTAGCATAACACAGCCTAGCGAACCGAATCGAGGCGGGACAGAACTGGCAGGCAATGCCTAGTCCATGGCCCGGGTGGCCAATGGACCGGCCCATGGAAGCGTCATATCTTAGCAACCCGTCCTGTCATTGCGCACAGCAGCATGCAATCGTTCCATTTGGTGTTTATGGCTGGACGCCCATTCTTTCGCTCCCCCCCTTGCAAAGGTCAGAATCTGGCTATTGTTCAACCTGACGCCTCAATTGTGCGATGCAATACTTCGGTCTGATGATGATCATGTGTAAGGGGCTTTCGCTCAATGAGCCTTTTGAGATGGAAGGGTTGCGCTTGTGAAGCGTACACTGCATCGATCAGCATAACAGCTTGACGAGTAGGAATTTGTGCCATGTTTTCGTAACTTGTTCCTCAACTCTCCGGGAGGAGCCATTCTACTACCTACAATGGCAAGATTTACCAATATGGCATTCAGCCCCGGAGCAGTGTATTGAGTAGAGTAGCGCTGAACGTAGACTCGGGTGACAAGGTTCATTGTACTTGTGACGTTATGAGGATCGCTGTACAAATGGTATAAACCACCTGGGTCGGCGGAAATTTCGCTCCTTGCCTCCGCGCTGCAGTTCTTCGATTGCCTATCAGGCGATTGTGCGCGGGTTGGCTTGTGTAGCACAGCGAGCCATAGAGCCGTCACAAGGATCCCATGGTGTCGAACTGAAATAGTGTTCTAGAAAGATCATGATCAGGTTGCAGGTTCGCGTACACATCCTTTCCCATGTAGAATGAAGCTGAGCACATGCTCGTGATCCGCGCATGGCTCCATATGTTATGACATCCTCGATCTTACCGAAATCTTTTGTGTTTCAGAAATGAAGACTAATCCCTCTAATGGGACTCGATTGATGGTACTTTCAAGGGTATACAATCTTTCAGCGTGGCCCCATCTCGTGTCTTTTCCGATTGCGCGTATGACAGCAAGGTATCTCATAGGGCGCAGTCGATCCGATAGAATGGCCGGACTAAAGGTAAGGTGTCGATCGGTCGGTCACGCTGTCCTTCCACTGCGAGACTCAAGTCAGGCCAGCAGCTTCCGCCACCCGACAGTTTAACGAGAACACCCATTGACACGGAAACATGGCAGTTTCAAAACACGATGTTGGCGGAAAGTTAAATAGAAAGGCTCTCCGCCACGTGAGGGAGCAGCCGATGGCATAATTTGCGCGCTATAGGGCTTTAGAACCTACAGGCGCACTGCCATGGGCTGCATCAGAGGATCTTGGCTGGTGATGAATAGGTTGAACTCACAAATATACGTTTCTTGTCATCTCGAAAACAGTACCGTAGAACTAGTCGGCATTGCTTGCTGGGGAGGTCGGCTAAATTCAAACCAAAGAGCGCGTTCTTGCTATGAGCAGTAGGCCAATGGTTAGATCTATCTATAGGCAGCACAGCTGGCCAAGTATGGGTAGCTTATGTTCTATGTTACTTGATGTCATTGTATAGCATCCCGAAAGATCGGTTAGTGGAACCCTCCGCAGCGCTTGGTCTGTCCTCCGGCCTAGCACTTTCTCGCCTATGTGGGTTACACTTCGATCTGGGCAAAGTCAAGACTGTGCAAACCTCGCCAGCTGGATACGGCCAGAGACGCGGAAGGACGATCGAGCGGAACGTCGATGGGTTAGTCTAGAGCTTGATGATTCACAATTGAAAACATGCCCAGCTACTCGCTCACTGCTGTTTGTGACCAAGATGGAGCGGTGTGGCGGGAACTGTCACCCACAGCTGCCCTGACGTCACCTGGCCAGAGCTTAGGTGGGTGCTTTTTGCTGGGGTTCAATATACCATGATTAAGTCTCGGATCCCAACCTTGACACAAGCTCAAGCTAGACGCAGTTACGCGAGTGTCATGGGGACCCATATGAGTGCCAAGATCCATCTTCTCGCAGTTGAGTGAGGTTCCTTTATTGTCACTTGCTTTTTAATTTGGACATGCGACAGAGGTTCTTTGTTCCGCTCCGTTGAAGCTGTACGGGTAAGTTTGCGCCAGGCGGTCAAGCTTCACACGTGGTATAGAACAGACCAGCCTAACAATCCACCCTCTATCTCACCAGCATTCACGATGGCGTTAAAATCTAGACAGGCCCGAGAATGCGGAGAGTTCTAAATTTGACTGGGTTCTTTACGATGCTTGTGCAAGGTGTTTGGGTGCTCCGAGTTAGGATTGGACCTGATCTTCCACAGTAGGACTTGAGCCTCGCGTCAGAACGGATGTATATATTTTCGGACTTGGATAAGGCCATTTGCAATATGACGTCCACTTTAGCAGCTGTACGGACTAGAACGACAACAAACTGAAAACACAGCCCAGCTACAGATGTAACATACTAGGACAGTCCTGTCCCTTTTTTTACTAGTCGTAAAGCTCAAGAAACTTGAGTATGCGAGCTCTCTACGTTCTCCTCTCATTAAGTATCGGAGCAATCACATGATTGTATATTCGTCTCGAGATTCCCAAACGATAACTATAGATTTTGGGACAACAGTAGTATACTATGGACGGAAGGGCGCTTAGAGGCCCACGGTAGTCACGGTTCATTGTCCGATTGATGGGTGTGCAACCACAATATGCGATAGCTTACCACGGTCGCGTCGGAAATTTGATTAGAATGTGATCCAGCGCTTGGTCGAGCGCTAGTGATTTCCAAAGAATCGTCGCATCCTGCAAAAAGTGAAAGAAAGAAAAAGGAAGAGGAAAAGTTACAGATGCGAGCTGTTACAAGTTTATGAATCTTGTCCACAATGCGCATAGGTATAGTTACTCATACTTCGCTTCTGCCGAAGAGGTCTGCAGCCCGCAGTGGTAGGTAGATAGATAGATAGAGAAACGAACGAATGCGCTCGTGCTCGCATTTTCCTCTGATTATTATTTTCCGAGGTGTCTTTCCTGAAGGGGAGATATAACCGAGATTGGCCATGGCTCCTCGATGAACTCCGCTGACGTTGAGCGCACTGGCCAGTAGCAGACTACACAACCGTGCGGCGTACGGTAAGAAAAGCAAGAAAACGGCCGCGCTTACAGAAGGACGGACAATCAGTGTGACTTCACGGCTCAGGTCGCATGGTGCAGGAAGCACGTTCTGGCTAAAGCACTGCCTACAGTAGTTGGTTGTTTTGAATAATGCTAATGCTAATGCTAATGCTAATGCTAATGCTAATGCGAAGATTGACGCGACCAGCCAGAGCTCTGGATGGAGAAGTCACACATAATCAGAGTAAGTTAGTATGTATTAACCAGGTATTAATAAGAGACTCCCATGTCAAAGAAACAGGCGCTGGTTCAAGAGGAGACGCCAGCAGATCTTGTCCTTGATCATCAGCACCTGGCTGGCACTGGCAGTCGATACCGTAGCTAACTACTGCCTATTATTGACCCCAGGACGGGGTGGCTGGTGAAATTGAAGGTCGGCCACCATCCTCGGTCTTACAGTTTTTGTTCGATTCCCGAGGACGCTTGGCCCGGTTGGGTCACACCTGCTGAGAGTCACAATGAGCATTCGGGATGGCCGGATGCTTTCCAGACTGGGCGGCGAAGAAACCCTGTTCCTGGGTAGATGGATGGTGAACATAAGGGCATTTTTATTTATTATTTGAACAGTTGGATTATGACCAGATCAAGATGCAGACGCTGTTGATAGATAGATAGATAAATAACATTGATCAAATAAAATTGTTGATGAGCCTGCACCCAGCCTTTTAAGAGGAGAATTAAAAAAGCAACTAACTTAAGGAACTGGAACTGTGTGGGTGGGTGGGCGGGCAGTGGTAGTGGTAGTGGTAGTGGTGGTGGTGGTGGTGGTGGTGGTGGTGGTGGTGGTTGGGGAAGATACAGGTGGTAATTTCTAGTACGGGTAAGTAATGACGGTCAGTGACGGACCGCCTTACCTAAGACAGGTTAAACCCGATGGAGCGAAAAACCCTGGAGGCGACCTTTGTTGGAACTGGAAAGGTTGGAAAGTCGACGAAGCTACCGAGCCAGTCAGCTCCCCTTCGCAACTGCGGCCGGTACAAATGCCCCATCGCTCGCCCCTTCCTCTCGCTGCGGCTTTCTCTCTCTGCTCACTCTCGTTGGTCATCCAACCTCTCCAGTCCTTGCGTGTCCCCCCTCCAGGGAGTCCAGTCAACCCCCCCAGTTGGACTGTTCTTGTCTGCCCGCACAGAGCCCATTGAGCCCATTGGTTTCAAGGTTATCTGCTCTTTTTTCTTTTTTTTCCTACTCGCTCCTCCCTCCAGCCTGGGTTGGCTTCCCAAGTTCAAACCCATCACCCATCTGGTCTTTGTCCAACCCAATCGTCGTTTGCCCTTCCCACCCCCATCCGCTCTCCTCTTGTGATTGATCACTTCCCTCATCTCTCTTCTGCCTTTACCACGGTTGTGATCGAATCACCGTCTAAGGTACGTGAACACTATTACTTTTTTTTTTTCTCTCTAAACAGTTCAATACCATTTTCCATTCCCCATCCCATACCCCTTGCTCATAGTTCTTTTTGCATTGTGAATTTGTGATCACCTATCTTATTTTCCTCTCAATGCCTCTGATTGCATCACCTTAATCTGGTTGACGCCCAATCCCGTTACACCCTCCTCCCCTTCATCTCCGAGGCTGGCCCCCAATCTCCTTTCCCCTCCCCGCCCGTGGTCTGCAGCCAGGTTGTTTCTCCAACCGCCGTGCAGCTCTCACTGCCAGCACTCCTATCAGACCCCAGTCATAATGATTCAATCATCACTCAAGCACGCTTCTCCACCAGTCACTTTTGTGCCTTTTTATTCAGTGTGCTTGTGTGCATGATTCATATTGAAATTCTGTGTTTTTCATTACCCGTTTGGTTATTTGATTGAACAAGAAAAGTCTTGGCCCTGTCATACTTGCTGCTTTTTCCCCGGGCAAGGGTGGGCTCCGATGTTTGATGCGTTTGACTCGGCGGATCAATCCCGGGCCGGACTGACATCAGCGGCAGCACCGCAAAGCAACAGCTTGAGAGAGGGTGTGTGTGTGTGAGAGAGAGAGAGAGAAGTAAGCGTGTTAGCTGCTGCTGCTGCTGCTGCTGTCCGCCTTCTTCTTGAAAGCGCGAACCCGCGAATCAATCCAAATTCCTCCCCTCGTGACAGTTGATTTCCGGCAAATCATTGACTTGATTTGCCCTTTTCGTGTTGCGCTGCATTGGAACCTTCTCCCTTCCCGCGGAGAATAATCGCTGCTAAAGGTAATTAACCTTGTTTCAAACCACGAGGCAGCGGCGGCGTGTTGTTTTCTGTTTCTGCCCTTCGCTGCGATCGCGACCCGCACACCGCGACTGTGATCCCTCTCTCTCTCTCATCCTCTGGGGAAACGCAAAGCAAACCTGGAAATTCTATCCTGTTAAGTTGATCTGTACCTGAACTACTATTGTTGCTGTCATTGTCATTTGTCCTAATTCGCCAAGTCCCCTTTGATCCGCGATCGTGTCATGCTTGCTTTCTGTTGTGTTTCACTTGCTGCTACCTTTCTTCCCCCTCCCTCCCCGCCCGTTACGATCCAATCACCACGCGTCAATCCCTGCCTGCCATCGTCTTGGATCTGATATCCATATCTCTAACATTATCGCCTTTAGCTAGACGCGAATCATATTTCCGTCATCGCGAACTGAAATCCTTGAGTTCAGTTCACACGTATTTTTTGATAAGGACACGCGAAAAGCAGACCACTGCCTTTGTCTCGGCTCACGAGTGCGTTGCAATTAACAAGGTATGTCACCGGCTGCATCATGATTCCGCTTGCCAACGCATACATCCTTCAGCCCTGAATGGACGAAGACGCCGCGGTTTTGCCTTCCCCTCCCCTCTCCCCACCCCCCTCCACCCTGACGCTTTTACCCTGGATGACAGCACACAAATCAAGAAGCCGAAATCTTGGTTTGTGGAGATGATCGATGCTAATTGTGTGCTGTAGCTGAGAAAGCCGTGCAAGCCCCCCTTCAGGCGCATCCTGACATCAGCGCGTCCCACGCCGCATTATAGTTCCGGGGACCCGTGGACTAGCCTTAGCCCGCACTACCGGGTCGCGACTGAGAAGCTGACCACGCTGCTAGCACCGCCTCAAGACGGACGTGGCCAAGCAAGCAGTCCGACTGACTGACTCTGGGAACTGCGCAGCCAGTTGTCGTCTTATTATACTGCGTAGCATTTATTTTTTCCCGTTTATTTTTTTTGGTCTCTGTTGTGCTGGAGATATACCTCTGCGCTATCACCGAAGCGATTGCGCTTTGTCTGACAACGCATCAAGTGCAACATTTTATCGAGGACACCCTGGTTCGCTGCATCGAAGCCCAACCACGTTACACTCGGAGGAGAACGTAAAAAAGATTTCCACAAAAGACACTGAACCGCCGGAGAAAGTCGCTTGGAGAAATTTGGACAAACAAGCGTTCAACCTTGCCCAGTCACCTCTTGTCGACGTCTCGAGTGTATTGGCAAAACAAAAGCGGAGGTACGCGCCCAGGTGCAAGCGCCTTTCTCTTCCCCCATCCACCCCACCCACTCCGAATCCAGTGACCGGCTGGTGCTGCGCTTCATGCTGACACTATAACAAGAATCCGCAGACCTTCCGCATTTAACTCGTCGAATCATCAGTCACGACCACAGACTATTTGCGGCCGCCTTTATTTTTCTGTGCACGACCGTAATCTTCTCCAAGTGCAACTGTTGCTTCACGACCTATCATTGTCCCTTGACCATTACCAACCTGGTCTCCGACAACTGAGCTCCTGTCAACCGTCTCGTCTTTGTAGTATCATTGGTTCTGACTAGCTGGTTCCTGACAGCCAGGGCGCTCGATCAATCCTCATTGATTGGAAGCGCGACAAGCTCGTCGCGACTTCACGATGGAATATCCTCCGCAATATCAACAGCCCCACGGGCAGCATCCCCATGCCCCGTCTCACATCGCTGCCCCTTACCAGACAGCGCCCCCGAATGCAGGTCCCGCTGTAGGGTCAATGACTTCTCCCACTAACCCCCAGGCACACATGCAACAAGCTCATCCTACACACCAGGCCTCCCCAATCGTTCCCTCACAGTCTCACTACCAGCAACCGCAAAATGCTCCTGGATCAGTACATCAGCAGATGAACTTTCCCCAATCGTACGGCGTCGCAGCTGCGATGCCGCAAACGTATGGAATTTCACCCACCCAGGCGGCTGCCATGGCGACGGCTGCAGCATCGGGCCCATTCTATCCCATCCATCAAGACTCGATGCCGGGTCAGATGGGACCTGGCCCTCGGGGATCTCCACGCATGGCTGGTGTTCAGGTTAAGAGTGATCGGAACCCTCGTTCCCCCCCTCAAATATCGGGTCAAATGGCCTCGATGGGACCTCAAGTACCGATGTCCCAGAGTGCACAGTTGCAGCAGCGTCGCATGAGCCATGTGGGCAGTCCTCACGTCCCGAGTGCGCAGCCTGTTCTTAACCACGTTGGCCGACCTTCCGTGCCGCCGGCCATGGTGGCTCCGCCCCAACCTCAAATTCAGCAAAGCCAGGCTTCTCCTGATATGGTTGCCGGTGGCGGGGATGAATCCCCACTGTATGTGAATGCGAAGCAATTTCACCGCATCCTGAAGCGCCGGGTGGCCCGACAGAAGCTGGAGGAGCAATTGCGACTGACCTCGAAGGGACGCAAGCCTTACTTGCACGAGTCGCGCCACAATCATGCCATGCGGCGTCCTAGAGGCCCCGGTGGACGCTTTTTAACAGCCGATGAGGTTGCTGCAATGGAGAAAAAGCAATCAGCCGGCGCCGTGGCTTCTGGGCAGGAGAACATTGACAGCAATGCT